TTGCAGTAGAGATGAGCGAGTTCGGGTGTCGGTCTTGGTACCACTTGACCACGTCGCCCTTGGTGCCCATCAGAACCTTCTTCTGGCACTTGATGCAAACCAGATTTTTCCCATCAGTCTTAAACTTCTTCTTGGTGTAGCTTGCTTGATAGTCCTTGTCTAGTTCCAGCAATTCACAGAAGTGCATCTCCTTCCACGCAGATACAAGGTCGTGCAACGGAATGCGGACCCTACCTCTGTGAGGCGTCTCAGTGTTGTCCGGCGGTTGCTCGAAGAATGCTTCTCTCCTGTCAGCTCCGTTTCTTAGCATTGTTGCCGAGAGCCCAGTTAGTTCTATTAAATTTCCAATCGTGCCGTCTGCCCGATTTAGCATGGCGTCGTCCACGAGGTACGCGGCGACATTCTTAAGGCGCGTTATTTCGCAGTCATGTAGGCCAGTGTGCTCGCGCAGCAGTCGCACATTCTCAAGCACTTCCATTCCAAGGACAGGCATGTTTAAGTTTGCCTCTTTTACGCGTCCGTAGACCTCATGTGCCATCCGATCTTCGGCATCGTTGTTGTCCCGCGCTTGGCCTTGCAGCCTTTTGCCGCGTGCGTACAGCTCTTTAAGTTGTTGGTTAAGCTCTTTAGGGCCTCCTGCACGCAGCACGTCGATCACGTCTGCGAGCCCTTTGTACAGGTCCCGGGGAACGAGGCAGCGGCGCTTCGCCGATCCGTGCTGCTGCCCAGGAAGTTCGCTGGCTAGCGCGACTGCCCAGGGAATCGATTCTTCTGTCAGCGCGGCTGCGGGCTGCCCTGAAGATGAGCTACTTTGGCTTGCGCTGTCTTCGTCGTCGTCGCTCGCGCCCGCGGCACTGTCGCTCTCGCTCCCGCGTTCGCTGGCGCTGCTATCGTCGTCGCTTTCGCTCGAACCATCGAACCAATCGTCGGCCGCCGCAGCGGCGGAGTATTCGCTGCCCTCGGACGCGCCGTCTTCGTCGCTGCTGGCGCTGTCTACGAACATGTCTC